AGCAATATGGGGCTTATGTCTCTTATAGAGTACATTTATCACTATCAGAAGTTTAAGGAAAAAAATTGGAGCTGTTTTCTGTCCAAAAGGTGCGTCAAGCTGGAACAGCCTTGCAGCACACCGGAAAGAAATATATCAAATTATTTATTACTAATTAATTGCCACGTATTTTCGAAGCAAAAACGGGTGTGCTGGCTTGACGCGACGCCAGCACACAAGTTAAATTAGGGTTGTAGCTCGACCGAAATCCTCAGATAATTTATTTGCTAATTAATTGCCACGTATCTTTGTGGCAAAAACGGGTGTGAGCTGAAAGTCAACACACACAATTCGCGTCGTAGCTCGACGGAAAATCTCAGATAATTTATTACTAATTAAATGCCACAATTTGGAATTAATTGCCCCTTCGTAGCGAAAACGGGTGTGATCTGGGCGGCAGCACACACATTCAGACTGCTACTACTATTTTGTTAAAAATTTCCAAAACACCTCTCCCGAACATCCAATCCACGCCGATGTCCCACAGGGCCCATACCAACACCTACACATTTCTCTGTAAGTAAATGATGTCCCACCCACAAACGGTGTCAAAGCTCTCCACTACGCTGATGACTTAGCTTTCTTAGCTTCTTAACAAACTCTAAATAGTTCCCTAATTCAGTTACAAGCCGCATTAAACACCCTCTATTTCATGATCAAAGAAAACAATATCACTTTAAACCCCTGCAAATGCCAAGCAATAGTTTTCTCAAATTTCAGACACCCATCCCTTGTTCCCCAACCCTTTATCAACATACAACCCCTTCCTTGGCAAATACAAATTTAACATTTAGGCGTTCATTCCTCTTGAATACTCCTTTGGGCCTCCCACATCCAACAATACACATGTAAAGCCTACAGAGACATAAATACAATCATCCCTCTCTTCACACACCACACATTACAGACTAAACTAAAATCAACATTATATTTCACCTACATCTTCCCTTTCAACACATTCGTCCATCCCACCTGGTCCTGCACTTTCAACAACTATCTCCAACTCATCAGACTAGAAAACAGAACCATCCGACTAATTACGTAAGATCATCACAACATTCCCCGCATAACCTCCTACATTCACTACATTTCAAAAAACATTTTTTTTCTCCGATTCTGCATATTGCAATGAGCAAGGCTCATCGCACAAGAGCGACCCTCAAGTCACGCTGAGTTAAAATACTTCGAGGCAAAGAGTGCCTCTTTCGCGCATTAGACACACACAGCTGCACGCGTGCCGGTATCCCTGCTCGTAACCGCCCCCGAAAGGCACCCTTCCACCGCTTTTGGGCAACAGTTGGTGATGGACGGGCAGAACTGTTGCATGAGGCGACACCAGCCTACTGTAAATCAAGACCGGCCTATGGAAAACTTCGCATGTAACTTTCCGTTAAGTTTTGCGACGGGACAGGTCAGGCATCTTGCGAGAGGGGTGGGGGTGGAAATCGCAGAGGCAAATGGCCGCTGGAAGGTCTGGACAGATAGAAATAGACTGTCGAAGTGAGCGGTCGGCTCGGAGATTTGTTTGAAACTTTAACGGCGACTACCGCCGCACTAGAAACTGGTAATAATCTCGAGCCAGTAATTTCGACAACTCCAGCATCGGAATTTATTCCGAATGTCGGACTAGAACCATCCCGATGAGTGTGCAGCATTGTTTCTCGGCTGCTAAACACTACGCGGTCCAGGCGACGTTTGACGCCCTGTGACCAGCGCATCAGACGTTGCGGGCTCAACTCCACTCGGGGCGGTCTCCGACTCAACCAGGCGCAGATTCCTGCCGGCTTCCGGAGAAGTCCATGGCTATTCGGCGGACCATCTGTTGCCACCGACTGCCAATTAAGTGTGTAATCCTTTCGAAGTGAAGTATCTAAATTCCAGCCATCACATCACTGTAAATCCATATATTCAATTAACCGTCGAATGTAGAAGATCAACACGAACAATAAACGTGTCCCCGTCGTTGGTCGGGTGATTTTACTAGGAGAATGTGTATTTTTTTAAATAATTAGTTAGTAAATGCAACCTCCGACCCAGGGCGCCCAAACCCTTTTGATGTCTCGACGCCGGCGCCCAGATACAGGTAGGCATACGCTTGGCGTCCCCGTAAATAAATTTAGCGCATGCTCCGGGTATCTGGAAATTACCGTTGCACCTCGAGTGTGACGGCACCCCTATGATAGTGCGACTCACTGCGACACGAGTATTCACGTCATAGTGGTCCATTACAGTATATCCGCGTTTCACCTCATCTACCAATTCTCAGAAACCCACCGAGACACCGCACCAACAAACATCCCCTTGACATCCTCCAACTTTACCTAGAGGGAACAGAATGGCCAGACATCGACAACTTTTACAAGACTAACAGGTGAAGAAAACAAGATGAAATAACGACACCGACAACTTTCCCAACAACACAAAACATCCGACAGAGAACTTTGTCATAGCCAACTCGAATCAAATTCACTCAAAATTATATACTTTCTTTTTCTTCACCTTTTCTCTTACGTCTCCACTCACAACCTAAAATAAATAACCCATCAACACAATATTGCGTTCTGGGCGGGCGCGGAATCGAGTTTCTACTACAGGAAATACGACGTCCTAACTTTCTCAGAGGTGAACAATTTAGCTTTCGAGCTGGTCACAGCTCCGCGAAGCAACTGACGCGGATTTGCACGGAGATCGGCCTTGCTCTCGAGAAACGGCAGAATTCGCCAGTGGAATTTCTGGATTCGCGGTCAGCCTTCGACCCTGTGCGGTGTTGGTCGCATGTCTCGCAGACTTGGATAAGCGACTCCTACCTCCGATTGATCGCGAGTTTTCTCTACGACGGTTCCAAGTGCGCGTTAATAACGTATATTCGTCCCTCAGACAAGCCGGGGCTGGCGGTCCTCAGGGAAGTTCTCTCTTAACCTCTTTGTTTTCGGTAAATGATGCGCTTCTTCCTGCTGATAATAAACAGGTATTCAACGCCGCGGGCTCGCGATGTTCGCGGATGATTTTCGTATAACGGGAAATCAGCGGAGGGCAGTCATTTATATACATAAGTTATTGTCTCGCCGCATTTCCTGAACAGCTAAGTCGGAAACGACTTGCATTCAAACTCGAGAAATGCGCGGTCGTCAACTTCACTCGTAAGAGGGCAGACCCCAACGAAACTTTGAGCTAGGCGGAGCGAAGCGAGTATATTTGGGCGCGCTACTTGAGAGCGGTCATGCGCCCGCTCGATATCTCGCGGCCATTCTTTCTTTTGCAACCTCTTTTCTAAGGACTTTTACCTTTGAAAATTAAAATATTTAATGTATAAACTAAGATTGCCCAAGGTGACTGTTATTAGCTTTTAATATAATATGGGTTAGTCTGATAAAGGTTGGCATTATCATATCTGCATACGCCTAATCGGTAGCAGAAGAAAATCTGTGTCCCAAATAGAATAAATTCCCTCCTCTCCAGGTTTACTGGAGGGGGAGAGACTAAAAAAACCCTGACGCCAAGTCCTGAGGAAGACCACAAGATGGTCGAAACGTCGACACCACAGCCTTCGGCGCAGCGCTCACGGACAGCCAAGAGCATTTACATGATTGAGCGAGAGCCTGCGACTTCATGAATATTTGAGTTCATTGTTGGCCGGTGACATGGGAAAGATAAGATAATGCAGTTTTATTTACTTAACATGTGTTACAATAAAATGTTTTATTCAACTTTATTAAAAAATGAATATAAAGATGTATACTGTATATGCAGATATGCATAAGGTAATAACATCAACGTTTCAAATGCATTCATAATGCAATATATTGGATGGTCAATTTGTGTATGAAATTATCCTTATTTTTATGATGTGCAGGAAATAATGGAAGAAAGTATGTGCTGTTTTATCACCAATAATTTGATATTCTTGGTATAAAAAAATAGTTGTACTGAACAACACACACACACACAAAAAGAATAAAAGCATCAAAATTCTATGATTCTCAAGACCATTGGTAGGTTGCACACAGGACTGAAGACATCAGATATGAATTGAAAATTAAATCAGTGTGTCAAATGATTAAATAATATAACTAAAATTGGGTTGAACATCTGCAACAAATGAATTCAGAACGAGTCTCATGCATAGTAGAGAGTAACCCTATAGGAATAAATATAGAAAATGTCCCTAAGAAAGATGGAAACACCAACTTCTACAATTCCAAATGCTTGTTATCAGTACAGTCCAAAGGCTCAAATCAAAATGTACTTATTCATGACAAACAGCGACTACAACAGAAAGCATTAACCTACAGATTGAAATACTAAAGGGACCGAGGAGACTGACAAGATGGCACCAAGAGAAATACTTCCCTTCAACACACTACAGAAGAGTGGAAAATCATCCTAAAACAAGTGTTGACGATCAGGAATAGGATTTATAAAGAATAATGTGTACCTAAAGCTGTACATTATAAAGGTTCAAAATAAGGAGTAAAAATATGGACCAACATTATAAAAAAAATTAAATGAAAATATTGTATTGATCAAATCTTTAACACTAAAACAGCAGAGAATACGATATACCTAGAACAGCAGGAAGGGGTCATTTACGCACCATGAATCATTATAAAGGGAATAAAAAAAGGTGAAAAGTCACAATGTTTGAAAGAAAACACTTAAAAACTGGATTTAGTATTGAAGAAACAAATGATGTGTCATTTTGACCCCTGCATCTGCCACCGTAGTTTAAACTTTCATACATAAAACGCAAAAATATTATTTTTAATATTTGCTGTGGAATAAAATTTAATCACATACTAAAGCAGACTGAACATATGTTACTGAAAGTAAATTCCTTACAAGTCCTAACCCTGATGGTGATAATAAATTACCTCTGATTGGTTTATGTGGATGGAATTCTTGCATGCTAGGGGCAGAAATTTCATTAGCAGAATAGTCACAGAAAACAAAGCAGATAACAATTAATTTATACAAAGTTTATATTTTATTGAATGTATTTGACATTGTGCCTTACATGTATTCTCTGTAGTATTACAATCTTTTGGTAATGATACATTGTTATATTCCCTATATTTTCAATAGTCATTATGATAACTTGAATTTAAGCCACAGACAAATCATTTCAAATTTACACAGAAAAAGTAATTGTATAAACACAACAGCATTAAATGCTTATTTGCCAGAAAAATTATATAATTGCAAAAAAGAAACTGATTTAGCAGATGTAATAAAACGGAATGTGACAAATATTTATATGACATATACACATGAAGGAACGTTTCTACAATGAACTAAAAAGGACAAAAAAACTTATTTTACATGACCATATCTGCTTATAATACTGTCATGATTTCTTAGCGCAACTGACAGATCGAGGTACATCAAATCCTAATGTTTGCTTAATGAGGCTCAGAACACTCTTTGTTTCAGCAGTTTTGCCATCTGAAAACAATACATAACATTAGAATTTTGAACCAATAAGCAACACTACGTTTATTACTATTCCAACAATACCCAATTAAGTATTAATGAATTTACAAATACCTTCAGAATTGATTTCCCTTTCCAAAGTCAATTTTTCCTTTGCCTTCTCATAAATACCTTCCTCTATTGTACCTTTACTAAGCATCCTTATTACTCTCACATCACTGAAAAAAATATAATGTTGGACAAAAGAAAACATTTGGAAAACATTCTTAAGAAAAATTAATGGGATATATTTACCGAGACTGCCCAACTCTATGACACCGATCTTCTGCTTGTTTGTCATTGTGTGGATTGAAGTCAATATCATGAATTATCACTGTATCAGCTGCAGTAAGATTTATACCAACACCTCCAGCACGTGTAGATACAAGAAAAATAAATATCGAAGTATCTTCAGTAAATGTATCAATAAGTTCTTGCCTATTTACAGAAAATTTTTTAATCAGAAATTTTTTGTTAACAATCTAATATACATTAACATTTAATATACATAAACATTTAATTAGTAATAATCATTTTAACACATTACCTTTCTGCAACTGGTGTACTACCATCCAACCGAAGGTACAGATGGTTACGTTGTTGTAAATATTCCTCAATTATATTTAGAACAATAACAAACTGACTGAATATTAGCACTCGATGATCCTCGCTTTTTAATTTAGGCAAAAGTTCATCAAACATTTTAAATTTACCACTCTCTAATACCATCTCTGAGGGTAAATAATATTTGTTTAGACCCTGCAACATTAGAAATACACAAATTTTGTTGTATGAGTAATAAAAGTTATGTAGGATTAACAGATATCAAAACAAGTTCAACAGGAAAATATCCAAGTCAATAAAAACATCTTCATTACAGGTTCAAGAAAATTAGACTGGTGAGATTAGTGACAACACAAACCTTTCAAATACACTGAAACAACTCTTAAGCAATTTTATTAATTTATTGAAATAAAAAAAGATTTTTTTTTTTGAATATGTGGTGAATGAGGGGCCAAGTATTATTTTATGTCTACCTTATGTGATAACATTTGATTAAACATTAAAATGGATACTATGAAAAGAAAAGTTCAAGCAAAATAATTGTAGAAATAAACTGTAAATTAAACTACAATTGTTGGAGATAAAAGCTTCAAATATCTGTGATAAGATTTAAAATTAAAAGTTAAAAATGAAATAATATGAATTCTTTATTTTAATAGCAGGGTAAGCAACAAAGATCTTGAGGTAGGAGGTCAGTTTGGGTCGGTAACAATTAATGTCGACAGGAAAAGATAACTAAAACTATGTAAAGAGCACGATTTGGATGTATGGAACACTGTTTTCAAACATGAAAGTATCCACAAATTTGGTATTCCAGAATAGATCCAGTAAGAAATATTCAACCAGCAATTGATTTACATGGAGAAGAAAAGAAAAAGAAGAAATAAAGAAAAAAGAAAAAAAATATGAAAAAACGAAAAAGAAACAAGAGTAAAATTGAATGGTGTGAGAGATTACCATAAACCAAAATGAGGAACATATGGTAGTGAGCAAGCATGTATTCCCTTTTAGAAAAAAACAAAGCTCTGTTTAAACAAATTCGAAGATTTTAAATTAATGACAATTTTTTTGAAACTGACCTTTTAAAGTAATACACAGTTAAACGCTCTATCAACATTTAATGGAGCTGCAACACCACGTAGTTTCTGGCATTATTTCTAACTCTTTTGCAATTTTTGAAAATTCAGAGTTTGAAGAAAATGAGATGTACAGCATTCTTTTCAGCCTTGAATTTTCCATGAAAAAATTTGGAGCTGTTTTTGAACAAATAATAATTTCAATATTGCCTACATTTCATGCAATACTCACCCTTTCCAAAAATTGTACTATGTTATCATTTGAAGATCTGTTTTTAAAGAATAGAATTTATTCAGGAAAAAAATCTCTATCATTAAATTGTAGTTGTAGAAAGACACTAAAAATTTTGAACTTTAGCAATTTTCAAAGTTTCTGAGAATTCAATGAAAACGCAACATACTCTATTTCTTAAGGTATCTTTTCCTCTTTTCTGGGTTGAAAAAAAAAAAAGAAAAATTTAATAAAAATAAAATATTTGGAACTATTTTTACTTTCTCACTTCTGCTTACACAGAAGAGAGAAAGTATCATAATGCTGCAGGAAAAAACAGCAAATTTTCAACTGAAAAATTCTTATTGCTGTGCCCTGGAAACTAATAACTGGATAATGTTCTTCCAATATATAGTAAAATACTTCCTCTAACGTATCGTGGAGTCAGAATATATGTTTGTGTGTCCTTGATACTAAAAATTTGATTGACAGCAAAATGCCTGCCTGTTTACGGTCAAGTCAAGTGCTTCAACAGTCCAGTCAATTTTCTTTAAAATTGATATTCCCCAATCGATCTAATGTCATGGCCCCTTGAAACAGATATTTTAATTTGGGGGAGGGGGGGGGAACTTTACATGAATAACCTGGGGAAAAAAGAAAGAAAAGAGATAAGGCACAACATTTTTTGATTAAATTTTTAAACATAGGTGCTTTTAAAATCATTGAAAACTATTTGCTCAGAAATGGCTTCAAATTTTGCATTTCGTTTTTTGCATCCTCCTAGCTAGCAAAGGATTGTAAAGATAGTGGTTATGATTCTATTTCCTGTGCACTCTGCATTTTCGAAAATTGCAAAATATGTTCCAAATTGTAAATTTGAATTTCACACGCTTCTTTTGCCAGTTCGGAAAATAGCAAAACAAAGTTTCAAAATTATTCAAATTCATCCCATGTTGTCAGTCATGATGGTTGTAAGATGTAGATATTTGTATGAAAGGAAACAGATTGAAGGTAATAAATTTTAACTTAAAACCAACACACACACTTCTATACTTCACGAGGTTTTAATGGCTAATTATGGTTTTAAAAAATTAAAAGTCCACTTCAATGGTAGGCTTGTGTGAAATTATTCTTGCTTTTCTGTATTGTTTCTGTAAATACTGTAACATTTAAATTCATTCATGTTAATTTTATTTCTAAACATAAGCAATTCCCTTCCTGACAATAGAAATAAATGCAAATAAGCACGAGAGGCGATTTGTTTGTATTACACCTTCTGATGTTATATCTGTTTTTAGTATGGCAGAAATTACATAATTATAATATTATGTAACTATGTGCTTGAAAGTAAGTGTTGTTGTTGTGCCTCTAGTGTGAAAATTGCAAAAATTCAAAATCTTTTCGACATCTTCCTACAACTGCAATTTTGAATATCAAAGTATTTATTAATAATTTTCATCAGAAATGAATCATCAAATAAGATCAAGTAAAATTTTTAGAAAATATTAATATTTTTTGGGTAAAACAGACAATTTTTATATTTTAAACAATTATTTTCTCAGAAACAGCTCCCAATTTTTTTCTTTTATTTTTTCTCATGTATTTGGCAAAGAATGGTAAAGCAAGTGATGCTGGGCATATTTTCGACAAATGGGGGGAAAAATTGTGAAATCTCAACACAATCTCAACTTCAAATTTCGCTTAACTATTTTTAATGAACTCTCAGGATGCATTTTAATAGCTGTTGCTATGCACATGCTCTTAATTCGTTGTTTAGATAGTTAGTTGCTAAGGAGCTAAGTGCATGTTTATCAAGGTAAATTGCAAAAAAAGTATTTTATTGTGACAAGTCTGCCTCCCAGCAACCTTGCATTACAATTGTGAATGGGTGACAGAACAAGTTTCTTTGTTTCTATGTAATTAGTAAAATATTTACACCAAGTTTCAGATGTGACAACACAAAAAATAAGTCTTTTGCGAAGTTGGAGGCTCTCTTTCTCTCCAAAAGTGCCCACTGGCAGACTAACAGCATTAAATTTTGGAATAGACCCTGAATGGTACACAGATTGTGTACAAATTATGAAATGTGGCTCAAGGACTGACATTTTTGCGATGACATTGAAGTTGACCATGGGGTGTGATATTCTAAATATTTTCTGGAGATCTGAAGGATAAAAAGTATGGATGCGGCAGCTGAGTAAAAACACTGCCTACAACATGATAGTTCACAGTTCATTTGAAACTAAAACCAGATTCTAGGATTGTTCAGCATTCAAGCATCATAAAATAATAATAATAATAATAATAATAATAATAATAATAATAATAATAATAATAATGTAAAAGAAGAAGAACTCATTTTCTCTCAATAAAATCAAGAAACGAAATTACAGTTTAGATCAGCAAGAAACCAACAACAAAAATATCACAAAGAAGCGAACACTATACAACCGAAGATCTAATCTCCAGGTAATTTGATATGTAAGTTTAAGATTTCATCTGAAAGCCACATGCAACAGAAATTGTGGTACTGATATACCTTGAAAGAGCAGAGGACTCGGGTCACTGCCAGCAACCTGTGCAAGTCACCTCTGTGGCTGACAGCAACCACATGGCAGTCAACACATTAAAAAAGCCTATCACACAATTTTTCTTTTTTATATATTCAGTAGAGATGTATATTTTTTGTTTTGATTTATAACATATCTTAGTTATATGACATTTTATCTATTAACCATAGAATTTTATTGCTTTTAGCATTATACATCTGGCAGGCAGTATACCTGTTGTTAATTTTTACTTTCTAATTAAAAATTCAATTTTTTTCTGCACTATTATTTCTACAGTGTATTTTAAATTCAGTTAAATGATTGTTTCACTAAGTATTCACTAACTTTCATTACGTGTCCTAATTCTATTTCATTCACTTTCCTTTAGTATTAATGACTTACCCCCCCACACACACACACACACACACACTTTTTTCTTTCTTCCAGTTTCTAGAATGTTAAATATATTTTCCAAAAAAATTGTAAATTATTTGTAACCATTATTATAATTTTGTTGAAAAATCAAAGGAATATTCACGTTTTAATGTTTTGTTTTTTCTTCTTGTACTAGACAACTGATGATGATGGCTAAGCCATCGAAAGCTGCTCTTGTAATAAATACTATTGTTGGCAATGACGTTTATAATTATTTCATTTGCGATTACATTAATAAACTAAATTAAAAAATTTACTTTCATCTAGATATCCTAATTTTTTCTGAAAATTTCTTTTAATAGTTTAGAAGATATATAATTTTAACCTAGATGAAAACTGTATTGTAACATAGGCAAATTTAACAGTCACACTGCAGCAGTTGACATTGGGCAGGAAAAGCCACGCCTAAAGCGTTAACAACCAGACATATATTTTGAAGGTTAGTATTGTTATTTATTCAATATATCTTGCAGGATTTATTTTGTTTTTCAGCCTTCACCTCATGAACCATGAAAATATTTCTTAACAGATGTACTAAATTATAAAGTTATTACCTTTTCCTGTGTCAAAGTATGTATCTCAAAATCCGACAAGCATTGCAAATCTTCAAAAATGTAATCTTTATTTTCTCCTTTGTATGTTGGATCAGCAGCTAACTTTTCTGCCAATTCCAATAACTGATCATCTTGATAGTGATATCGTAAAAGCAATGGATGATTAGCCAATTTTCTTAACTGCATTAACATACCTATAAAGCTGGTTTCATTACCATCCTAAAATTTAAAAAAAATTTAAAAAATGATTGCCAACAATTTCTTTACCTCCTCAAAAATACAAATACAAAGAAAAGACACACAAGAAATATAAATCACTAATTTCAATTATTCTCTTTCATTACAAAAGTCTTGGGATACAAATACTTTTCCACTCTTTCTTGTGCATTCAACTTATATAAGAAATTATTCAACATCAATTTACAATATATTTTTAATCAAAATACAATGAACTCAGAAAAAGTTAGAATGAACTTACAGAACCACCACCATCACCACTTGCACTGTTCTTGAATGCATTAATTAGTTCATCATATTTTTCTTTCTGACTTTCAGTCATTGGACAGTATAAGGTTTCATTAGTTTTCTGGGGCAGGTCCTTCAAAACATCAGCTTTTAGTCTTCTCAAAACAAAAGGTTTCATAATTTGTCGAGCATTTGCAACTTGATTTTGTTCAAACATTGATAATTTCTCCTGAGGTTCTTCATTTTCCTTGATGCCTTGTTTCTAAATTCATTAGGTGAATAAAATAAATATTAAAGACAGTGACAAAGGTTTTCACGTTAATTCAGCATAACTCAATATAAGACCAAATGTTTTTTCACAACTTACTGGAATTTTTGTAAACAATGATTTTAAATGATCTTTTTTTCCAGCAAACATTTTAGGCATAACAAAAATTAGCAAAGACATAAGTTCCATTAGAGTATTTTGAAGAGGGGTACCAGTCAACAGTATTCGATGTTCTGCCTGTAGTGAAAAACAAAAATACAAACAATATACTATAGATATTATATAATGCATATCATTTCAATAAATAAGACATTTTCCATCAGTTTTATTTCATGAATGATATGTATATTACAGCCTATACTTTTAAAATATTTGAAAATAATTGCATGCTATGATCACATACATTGACCCGCATCATCGTTTCATATCGTTGTGTAGTCATGTTTTTTAAGAGATGAGCTTCATCAATGACAGCATAATGGAAAGGTAACACTCTGAACATCTTTTTCTCCTCAGGGGTACTGGTCATTGTATTGTACCTGCAAAATGAGTTAAGATTAAAGATTATCAAACAGACTAACAATAAGAATGAAAAATATTATCCCTCAAACAATTGCTTTTATTAACATATTGAACTTAGGCATAAGTCATACGTTGTAAGAATCACGTCAACACCCTCCATTCCATCATGTACCCATTTGACACGCATTGATTTCCTTTCAAATTGGGATCCATGGTATACTACAACATTCAAGGCAGGACACCATCTTTCAAGTTCCTTCCTCCAGTTATCTGAAAATGAAAATATACAATCCTTCCCATTATTAACACAAAAAGATTTTCAAAAGCATGACCATGTAAAATTAATTTTAATTCAAATTCCCCTTTTTAAGATTTACACATATTGTAGTAGAATATTCTACTGAAATAGAATCCACTTTAAAAAAGTGGCATTTAATACAATTTTCTGGCAAATAAAATAAAAATGAGGAGTCACACTCACAAGACAATGTAGACAAACTAATTTCTATGGTTTATTCAAGAGTGCTTGCTTTTTCAGTTACTTACATAACATATACACACATTAAGAAAAAAGTTCCTTTTTTACAGCCCATTTAATAAAAAAACCTTTAAAAAATTGCAACTAAAACTAGATCAATTTAAGATGCAACATTGATAATAAAACTATTGTTCATTTCAAACCCCCTCTGGAAACTGAACACAAAGTTGCGTCAAGGTGACTCCAAGTTTTAAAATATTCTCACAAGCCTTATAAAAATATTACACTAAAATGTAAATTAGTTTTCATTTTTAGATATTTCATTGGCATTCATTAATATTTGTTCCAAGGTTTCTCTTTCCTTCCCTCACCTTATATTACATCATTCTTACCAAGTGTTGAAGAAGGCACAACAACTACATGAGGATGATGAGGCTTTTTATTGTTTTCCATACTCGATTCTTTCAGATGAGCAAAAAATGCTATAACTTGTACTGTCTTCCCCAAACCCATTTCATCTGCTAATATACCATTCAGCTCTTGGTTATGCATCATCAGTAACCAATTCAAGCCAACCATTTGATAGCCAGCTAATGTTAAACTAGAATGTTCAACAGTAAATAAATTAGTAACAAGATTTCCATATAAAAATCCAAAGGCAGAGAAATGGCAAATTTTCATCCATTTCTTAGGAATAAGGAACTACCTGTCATTAAGTAACGAAGGCTGCTCTTTAATTCCACTGGTGCCATCTAAAACTACAGATGCCATCTTTTTTGACAACTTCATACATTTAGTCATAAGTGTTTCAACTTGTAGACGCATATGGAGAAATTCTTGGACATTATTAAGTATATCAGTTCCAAGATATTTCCCATTTTTTAACTTTTCAACCTGAAAACAGAAACTATTGTTTTTAGTAGTTTTTGTATTTAAGCAGATTACATTAGCACAAATCTACTCACTAAATCTTTCCAATCTTCAAAAGGACGCTTTTCAATAATTGCTTCCGCCTTTTTATGAGAAACTGATGGCACCGTTTTCAGTTCCATTATAGTGGCTTTTGATAAAAATTGAAGAACTTGTTTTTGATCGACTGACAATTCATCTGGCATCTCGTCACCGGACTCATCACTAGAAAAACCAAAAGGGAAGCGGAGTTAAAAGTTTTGTTTGTCACACTTACAGTGATGAATCAAAAACCAATATCTAAATAATTTCACATCATCCTTTTGCTGTTCTATTTAAATAACAAAAAACCAATCAGGCAATGTGACTAAATATTAAATTAACTAACAAATTAATTAAATTCATTAATTTCTACCTAAGTATACAACACAAAAAGAAAGAGCCCTTTCTAATTCTTTCTGAAATGTAACCTTACAGTCGCCATGCCATGTTTTGAAAAATCAGAAGTTGTGGCAGACTTGGCACATAGCTAAAAGTGGATGTGGAGTACATGTGAAGACATCCGCTTCCTCCCATGATATACCCTCCCCTCATTCCAATCCCTCCTCTCTACGCATGCACCAAGCTCTTTAACCTTTCTCAGTATAAAACATACTAATATAAAGCAGAGAAATACAAACAAAAAAAGTTAATTATTGTGTTAAGATTGAAATTTTAAAAAAATGTCTGAGTGTGGGAGTATAGACCTCATATTCCCCTTCATATTCACTGCTGATTCTGGCAGTAAGTTTTTTATTGAAATGAAATTACAAGAGGTTTAGGATGAGAATTACAAACACATTCAATAAGAATGCAGAAGAATACCGCTAATGTAGTATTAGCAGTGTTGTATCATTATATAGCAGTATGCATAATAATAATAATAATAATAATAATAATGTTTCAGGATGTTTGTGTGTGTATTTTACCATCATTTCACCCAAGGGCTTACAATCTGGGGTGTAAAAATAAAATAAGCATTAAATGGTGATCCCCCCATAGAAAAGTGACATGCACCTATCCCGATAATCATGACTGAGCCCTGGTGGGATGCAAATGTTGCATGGCCACATAACAGCCAATACACGAAACAAAATAATAATCATCATCATGATGAACTAACCAGAAATTAGGCACTATGGCCTGTTTATATTGCCTTATTACAATATTCTTGGTAAATTCTTAGTCTTCCAAGTGTATAATAATAATATAATAAAATAATAATGATAATGACCATCACCACCATAAAAAATAATGATAATCAACAATAATAATAATAATAATAATAATAATAATATAAATAAATAATAAGGAATTCATATCGTGAGAATTTCACCTGAAAGCCATTAAGGTGGGGAAAAAAGTAGCAAAATACAAATCAACAAAGGTAGTACCTGTCAAAAACCTTTTCTTTATAAAGGTTTGGATTATCACCCTCATCAAAATCACTTCCTTCTCCATCCACATCCAGATCCTTTCTGGCTGAAAATGAAGTGGATAATTAAAATGCATAGTTAAACACAAACGAGAAAGAATGTCTTAGAATCATTTTTGCCCACACCAAAATAAAAGAACATATTTTAAGAAAACCCAATAAGCAAAGAGACATTTTGATAAAATATAAACACATAGTAAAATATTTAAAATCCAAAAGGATAGCTTAGTTAGGACACCTAGAAAGGATGGACTCGAGCAGATCACAAACTGGAAGCCTTGAACTAAACATGGAAATCAGTGATTGGAAAACAATGTGCTTCAAGACCTTCAAATTCCTCGGGCTAAGAACTGAAAAAACTACCAAGGGACATAGAGTAGAGAAAAATACTTGAGCAGCTAAGATCCACATCACTTAGAGGGGAATGAAGTAAAAGAAGTTGTTTACTACAATTGCTCTTGAATAACTACAAAAATAAAAGAATTTTCTTGGTACCTTTCTTTTTCTTTGAGTTGGTATCTTCTTCACTTCGAGGCCTTTTGCCCTGCCCAGGATATCTTTCAAATAACTCTTTCTTTGCTGATTCAGCATTCCACTTATGGTTTACTAATACATCTTGTAGAACCTAAAATAAATTAAAATTCTTATTTTTGTACAAATAAAAACAACATAGTTTCTAAGTATAAGCAGTATATTTATTCTCACCATCTTGTCAACAGTAGGAAATGCCTCAACAAGAATACACAAACATTTTTCTCTTGCTTTAATGACATCTGCTGTAACTGTCACAGGCGTCTCTACTTCTTCTTCAGTATCAGATTCTTGAATACGTCTAACAACCTTCTTTCTATTCCCTACTTCGGGAGGTGAACTTGGCAATGCTGTTAAATATATTTTGTTAATTTTAGTGACTGCTGTTTTCCAAAATACATCTACTTATAGTTTGTAAACAAGTAACTGCAGAGAAATTTCAAATTGGGAATTGAAGACCTCAATTAAGAGTAATTTAAGTAATACAAAAACAGATTATCCAATCAAATCAATCAATCATTTGTACATCATGAATAATTTCGGTATGTTGCCTTAATAACTATCAAATGCCACAAATTTTTCAATATTTTTTTATTCCAATAAAATTTATTGGAGAACATTTTTTTATGTTCTTCAGTTCTTTACAAGGATGCCTTACTCTTAGAAGGTTTCAATTTCATCGCATTCTTCTGAAATCGAAACTGGCGCAGATTTGTCAAAAGGCTGGGGCTAGAAGTAACATCCGAAGAGCTGGATTCCTCAGACATTTTTTTTCCACTCACAACATACACCTGGGCAGAAGAGATGGAAAAACAAACTTTGGTAATGCAAAGCAATAAGTGGGAATTAACAAACAGGTTAGTGAAGTTTCTACTACCTGTAAAATGAAGTTTTAACTGTAACTACAATAATGTCATGCAAAATTGTGGAGAATTCTAGTACAAAACCATGTAGGTTTTCTGCAATTGTGCTGTGCCATTTGGAACAATGTACACGCATAAGACACCAGATTTTTTCCACAGAATATTTACTAAAATGGTCTTTTGCTGTGTACATTCAAAAAACAGTAATATACAAGTAACATCAAGACACTTTCTTTTGAAAATTTAACATCAATTTAACTTCCACTATGAAAGTTCGATGTCTTTACGGCCATTGTCTATGTTAAAGTTCTTATTCGGTGATAAAAGTTTCTCCATGTTACGAACCATAACCTGTCTTTCAGCTATCTGCACACAAACCTTCCACACAATTGCACACAATATAATCAAAGATGCAGATCGACGGATTAACGAGAAAACGTGCGCTGTGGTTTCTCTTGTCTCTACTTGTCCTCGCCGCTTCGCGCCGCGCCACTTGCTTCCATGAACCTATGAGCAAGGAGCACTGACCATGGCGAGGCTGCGTGTGGTTGCGAGGTTGCATAGCGGGATGCATTTTAATATTTTTCTACACTGGCATTTTTCGACAATATGTAGAGTAGCTTTTAAAAAATTGACTGGTCATGTTATGAAGAATTGCGAAGGTTTCCATTTTTTCCACAAAAATGTGAAATATCTCCCAAACTAATGCAATCAATAATTAGTACGGGACCTCATTAACTTCAACAATAAGGACGCACGGAAAAAAAATAGAGCAGCTTTAGAGAATAAACTTCATTATACGTATTAAAAATGGTGGTTAGAATTACATCTCAGCATCTATTTAATTAGATACCAAATCATTCATTTATATTTATCAATGATCTGTACAACAGAATCAATGCATTAGCCAAGGGAGTCTATGAAGTCGCATTTAATTTTAGTAAATCTAATATTTGGACTTTAGTACATTCTGAGGAACTTGTCTCGGGAAGGCTATATCTTTCTCTGGCGAATGAAAAGACAAAGGGCCAGACTGGACCACCCGGATCACCTGGCTAGCGGGCATCACAGGATGAGTCACCCTGCCGGTGGGCCTACCGAAGAGTTCTTAGTTCTCTACACGTGAATCGTCAACAATTTACGTGATAAACAACGGCGGATCCAACGTGGGAGGGGGAGGCTTAGGAACTGCTTGTCACATGCCTTCCCCCAAAGTGAACATTTTTTGTTGTTGTAATTTTACTTAATTCAAAATATATATTGATCGCATCACATATAAGAGAGAAGATGGTCGCATTAGGGGTCGTCCACAATATGTAACGCTAAAGAGGGGCGTTGAAGCAGCGTTGCCTTGCGTTATAATACGAAGGGGCAAGGGCGGATCTAGACGATCTTTTTCTTGGGCGGGGGGCATCATAGTTTTTTGTTAAATAATAAACATATTTGTTATTATATCGTATTTTGTTTTTGAAGCGTATATATGGTACTATACGATATTATTGTTTAGATAATTACATAATTCTAACAAATAAATATTTAAATCAATTTTACCAAATAAACGAAGGCAACAAAAGAAAACTCCAAGTCTGCACGGAAGGAGGGAGCTCCCATGCCCCTCCCCCCTGAATCAACCAATACGTAAGGGAAGGGGGTCTTGATATATATATATATATATATATATATATATATATATATATATATATATATATAATTTTAAACTTTTGCAGAAATAATTCCTTTAATACAGTATTTTACTAAAACATTAAGATAGTAATGAATTCAATTAAAAATAAATTAAAGAAACTATGATGTAATTGTAGCAATAAATAGGAATATTTTTCCATTTGGTTAAATCTGTTAGATTACGAACACAATATTCAAAACTAATCTGTTGTATGTTTTTTTAAGTTAGGTTTGTAAAAAATAATAAATAAGAGCTCTAACTAAATAGTGGTTGCCACCAGTGGTCGCTCTTAATATTATTACGTCTTGGCAAGTTAGATGAGTTCTTTGTCTTAATATCACATAATTATTGACTTAATATTCCTGGTAGGTTGTGTCCACGTATAATTATGTGTGTGTGTGTGTGTGTGTGTGTGCGCGCGCGTGTGTGTGTCAATAGAACCCATTCATGATTTTTAGATCCATCTGACTACATACATTTATTAATCTCACTTCATTTTTATTACATACATGTTTTTCATTGTTACTCACTCTATTATTATTCTGTTTACTTCCCGATCGGGCATTTAAGTCACCCATTATTAGAATTTTCGTACTTGAAGGAATGTCTTCTAATATTGCCACTAAATTCTTCTTCAAAAGAATCTTTTAAAGATTCTGCTGCAACTTCAGTTGGAGCATATGCTGATACAATTAGCATAGTATGACCAAATATATCTAACTCCACTGACAGCAGTCTCTCATTGATTTCATTCCAGGTTCTTATATTTTTTCTCTACATTTTCTGGGTTGCTACTGATACTCCACATTTAGCCCTATTATTTTTGTTGACACCACTATAAATATGGATATATTTGATGTAGTCTTCAATTTCTCTTCCTTTCTTCTTAGTTTCCGTTAATGAACAAATGTCTATATTTAATTTTTCCAACTGACTGAATACTTCTTCATACTTTTTGCTAATACCGTGAACGTTCCACGTTGCCATTTGCATTGTCCGGTTTCGATGTTGAAGTCGTCTTCGATCGGGTTCATTTAAAGGTTGCTTAGAGTTTTTAACATGTTTATGATTTTTACGGGAATGGCGTGTTAGCCCATAGCCCATCCTCCAACCTGTTAGGCCAGGATTTGTTTGGGGTTTTCTCCCCCTAGAGAGACTGACTCCACGCCTTTCTGAGTCCTCTCTACCCATGGTTTTCTTTCCCTTAGCCTTTGGGGGCTCCGCTCCCTGCGAGGCTGCAGGTTGAAATCGGAAAAGAAAAAGGGCACACAGAAATAAGAGAGAGGAGGAAGAAAATATAGAATGGAATAAGGAAAGAAGGAAGGAGAAAATAATGACTTAATAGCCCTCGCAACCTAATAGCATTGGGGCCGAAAAACACAAGAGGCCAAGATCGGTCGAATAGGAAAGAATAAAGAAGCATGGCACAAAGGAAGAATAGCCATGCCACCCTAGTAAAGGGACCACCTTTACGGCTAGTTGCCGTTGGTGGGAGAGAGGGAGGGACATGGGAACCAGGCACGATGGACTATGGATAGAGGTGATGAAGTACTGGTGGGTCGGTGTGAGACAGGCTCCTCTGCTGAGACCTGTACAGCATGGGTGCCCTTACCCGTAGCATCGTTGATCGATTCTCAAACCCATCATCAGTTCTACCTCTGTATGTCCTCAGCTTCATAAGAGCAAACGTCCTCGCCCGCACGGTCAGTGCTACTTTAATGCAGTGACTCCTGGAGGAGGAGTATAGAATTTTCGAACATGTTTATGATTTTTAAGGGAATAGGGTGTTGGCCCATAGCCCAAACTCCAACCCGGCAGGCCAGTATAGATATGCAAATAATTTTTCAATTTTTTATTTAATAAGGTATACAAATATTTTTTTTTTAATTTTCGCACCCCTGCAAGCTGGCGCCCTGCCCCTCCAAAATCCCCTCTGTTCCTCATAACAAATCCACGAAAGTTAAATAATATTGCAAAGAGTAGCATTGTTCTTGCCCTATCCTGTATTTTTGCATGGAAAACATTACTTGGCGTTCTCAAGAGTAAAAACCTTTTCTAATATTTTTGTGACTATCAAGGAAAGCGAAAAGTTGTCAAGGAAGATTGAAGAATTGCTTCAAATGTTGTTTTTAAGGAAGTGTGGATTGTTCGAAGAATGTATCTGTATAATACTGAATAAATCTTCATTGAACATTTATTTCCAACGTCAATTGCATTGTTTTTATTTTTGTTTCATATTCTGTAAGTACGAAGTTACATTTATACATTTTTTAAAGAAATAAACACATTGCATTAACAACTTTTCTCCTTAATGGGATGGATAGGGAAAGGGTGAGGATTAACATGCGAAAGTTCTTGCACGGGCACGCTATTTTTTTCTCAAAAAACTTTCCAATTTTTTTCTTCAATTTTTTCCCATCGAAAGAACATCCCAGGTATACTTTTTATCGAACTCTCTGAAATTACGAAAATTGGGAATTAAAAAAATAATGCGAAAAATTAGGTGCGTAGTAACACCACTAGTTTCTTACGAAGGTATGAGATAGCAAGGTGGATAAATTTATTTAATCAAATCCTTCCTCTGGCACGTAGTGTAGACAGATTCCATGTTTTGTGTGTCCTTGATATCGAAAAGTCGATTAACGGCAAAGTGTCTGTTCGTCAGTCCTTCCGTTTGCTCGTCCGTCATCCTTTGTTAACAGAACAGATAAAAAACTTAAAAGAATTTCTCAGACATGGAAAAGATTTTGGAGCCTCGCCTTTGTGTTACTAAAATTTTAAAAAATTACATTAAATTTAGAATAATAATCAAGGACACTTGTGTGCTACTAGTCCTAATTTATGGGTCACATTACGTGGTCACTAACGACATAAATATACGCCGCTGAGATGCCAACGCATAATGGAGAGGAAAATACTGTGCATTTCCTTAAAACACAGAATCATTTGCGTCGAAATTAGATAAAGAACAAAAATAAAAGATGCAGTTTACCAAGCAGAAACGCTCAAATGGAAATAGGGAGACTATGAGACTAAACCAGAGACAGTTCAAAACGACATGGCAAGGATATTGGTAGCTAAAAGAAAAACTCCAAGCCTGGGTTCAACGCATTAGATGTTACAAACGTAAAGTAGAATTCCGTGTACAGAATCGGTTGTCTGAACTGTACGCGAAAAGATTCTATCGCAACCTGACTCAAAAATCCGAAAAGCAATGCTTTCTCTTCTGGAAAACTCTTCGAAATATTCGGGGCGGAAATATGGGAACGATGTAGATTCTACAACAAAAAAGCATCTTTGCTCCATTCTGAAGTTGATGCTACCGACAAATTTGTGGAAACAGTGGAACATCTTCACGTATTTTTAGAAGAGGGCGCATCCAAAGCAATTACGAGGAACATGAGAAATTGTTCTGGATTTTATCAATCCTTCGGGATTGATAAAATCCAGAACAATTAATTAAGAAATTAATAGCATTACATTTTCATCTAACCAGTTAATAAACTTTTAGAAAACCCAAAGGAACTCCCGAAATGGCTCACACACGGCATCACATATCTCACACCCAAATCGAGAGACAGTTCTTTCGCAGAGAACTACAAGTTAATCACTTGTCTGCCATTCATATACAAAGTTATAATTGCTGACAGAACTAACAAAATTTACAGACACCTGAAGAGGAACCATCTGTTTCCAATTCCAGACAGGATGTCGTAAAGTTTCCTACGGCTGTAAGAAATTCTCGTTACTAAATACAGTCATCTTGAATGATGTAAGGAAACGAAACATAATTTACTTAATGACTTGAAATGACTACCAGAAAGCCTCTGACAGTTTACCACAGGATAGGATTTCGAAGACCCTGGAGATCTACATATTTTATCCTAGATATATTGAGTTTTG